AACGAAAAATCCAAACCACTACTGCTACCACCAATATTAATAATGATAAGGGAAATAACAAGGGAAAAGGACACAATCGCTCACCACCTGCTGACTGATACCCAGCCCGACCCGAGCAGCGATCTGGGCCTTCCGGGTGACTCCCCCCAGTTTCTATACTGGGCATGACGTGCTGTGGTGTGGAATAGCCCTTTGGCCAGTTTGGGTCAGGTGTCCTGTCTCTGCTTCCTCCCGGCTTTCCCTCCTCTCTGGCAGAGCATGAGACTGAGAAAGTCCTTGGTTGGAGTAAACATTACTGAGCAACAACTAAAACCATTGGTGTTATCAGCGTTGTTCCCAGACTGAAAGTCAAAACCACAGCCCTGCACCAGCTACTGAGAAGGAGACAAAATGACTGCTGTAGCTGAACCCAGGACAGTATGTCACATGGTCTAGCCGTCAAGAAGGAAGAGAGACCAAAGGACGAGAAAACTGGCTGAACATAAATGGAACTGAAAGCAAAGTGGAGTAGAAGTGCTCTAAGTACAGACACAAAAGAAAGCAGACTTAAGATTTGGTCAACTGCATTTCATAAAGTGAAACTGCACATGGTTCTGGAAAGACTAGAGACTATGATTTGGTGTGCAGAGCCAAGAATGGGCAGTTTATAAAAGCACAGCATTTAGTTTTATATGAAAGAGTGAAAAAAAGTATCAAGAACTGAAGAGGTGTCTGGAGGTTCTTCAGATTATTTCCATTTTACTGTAAAACTTCCTATGCAGAAAAGTTCATAGTGGAGAGTGGCAGTTAGTGGTGGCTTCTGAAAATTATTAGGGGCAAGGAAGGGGAAATTATTTGGAGTAGACAAGCAAATAAAGCCTTTTTGAGTAATGGTGGTTGTAAGATTGCTTTTGGGTAACATCAGAATTGGGCACGCAGTAAGCGGTATCACCTTCCAGATACCCTTTCTGCTGCCTTGTGGAGACCCTACTTTGTATACATGCCATACAGTCCATATTGTAGCCTTTAAACAAAGACAGTGGGTATGTAACTGACAGAACAAAACTGTTGATTTGTGATCAAACCTTACTTTATTACACAGCTATCCAACTGAGTGAGAGTGGCAGTGACTCTGATATAGAGCCTAATGCAATGAGACCTAAACAACCTCATGTTCTTCAAGAGAACACACGAATGGGCATGGACAATGAAGAAAGCATGATGTCTTATGAAGGAGATGGTGGGGAGACATCTCATGTTATGGAGGACAGTAATATCAGGTAATTAGAGCTGAAAATCCCTTCTCTTCAAGATTTCTGAACTGTTTATCATAAAAAGCTGAAGATTATCTCATTTCTTTTAATTTTTGTCACTGTTTTTAATGTTGCAGCCATTATTACCATAATTGCAATTTACTACTTACTGACAGAAATTCGATTTTGCTGTTAGATATTCACTAATAAAAACGTTAGTTAAATTAAAAAAAAAAGTATTTCTTAACAGATGATTTCCTGGACACAGTGATTTTTGAAGGCTAATAAAGGCTTTCTTAAGTTGTCTTGGAAACTGCAAGATGCCTTTGAAATTAAAAGATAACTCAGTTGATTAACTTCATGGGGTTTGGTTTGGTTTTTTTCTCTAAGAACAAGCATTTCCTTACTTGAAAAGAAACTGCTTGGTTGCAGTCCAAAAGAATAGGAGTATGCAGTCTGTATTTTGGAAAGAGGTCCATTATTAGAAAATGACAAGTACAGCATTGACTGGAGAGAACCTACTCTTCCTTCTCTGGCCATTCCACAGAGTATTAGCATGAGATTCTCTGGGTTTTGGTTTCTGGTTTTTTTTTTTCCTACTTGTGAAATTTAGTCCTTTAACGTTATTACTTGTTTTAATACTAATAGCATTACTTTAATGCTATTATTATGACATTTGCCCAATAAATGATCATAGAGGTAGCTATGCCAGGTCAGGCAAATGGTTAGTCCAGCCCAGTACCTTGGCAATAGTTAGCAGAAAATGCTAGAGAAGATGATGAGAACAGGCTGTCTACCTGCCTGTCCACAGGGAAGGTGATAGATGGAAGGTGTTGGAGCGATCTGTTTTTCCTGCTCTGTGTGTGTGTATCAGAGGAGGATGCGGATGCTGAGAGACAATTGTTTCATCTGGAGAACTGGGGGGTTTTTAAAAAAGCTGACCACTGGCAGTACTGAAGTGTGCAGTGGTTCTGAGTGTTCCACAAAGACTTCAAGCCAGGGAACTTTTACAGGAGTTAAATACAGAATTGTCGGTACCAGTAGATGATAAAAAACCATGGTATAATACGAGTATCTTCTTTCTTCCAGTTATGGCAGCTATGAAGAACCAGACCCAAAATGCAACACAAGAGATACAAGTTTCAGCAGTATTGGAGGGTATGAGATCTCAGAAGAGGAGGAAGAGGAAGAACAGCAGCGCTGTGGCCCTAGTGTATTGAGTCAGGTCCATCTGTCTGAGGATGAAGAAGACAGCGAGGACTTCCATTCCATGGCAGGAGACAGTGACCTGGACTCAGATGAATGAATTCCCCTTCCTGACTTGATGGTCATCCCAGTTTGGTATGAGGAACAGTATAGTGTGGACTGTATTAGCAAAAAGTAGGTTTTTCTAATGTAGTATTTTAATTACTTATAAAAACATGTGATGCGATTGAGTAACTGGTGAAAAGTTAAGCCTGGGACACGGCTGAGATTTTGGTTTGCTGTAGCCTGTGTAAGCTCCAGAATGATGACTTGTGTGGTTTGTTCTTCAGTTTTAGGTGAGTATTGATGTAAAATAATTTCTCACCACTGCTGACCTGTTGGATAAATGCACTTCTGTCAGGAGAAAAATGACTGCTTGGATTAAAATACCGGCCACTGATGACCTAGGAAATCCTAATTTCATAAAGGAAGGTTTTTCTCTGGGACCACAGCATGAGGGCCCCGGCAGGAGCCTTACCCCAGTGGCCCATTTTGAATGCGGCAGGACACGGCTGCCCTGTTTGTTTCATTTGAAGTTGCAGTTAGGCTGAGGAATCAGGATTTGGGCCTT